CCATTACTATATTTTATTATCTGAATTTTATCTGTCTCAAGAAGGATATGAGTTCCTCTGTATTTCCAGCTCCTAGTAGAATACCACAATATAGAAAATACTTAACATGGTTTTTTGTTGAATGAAACAATGGACCTCAGAGGAAAGGAATTAAGAAGCTTATAGAATCTAAATGTGGCCCTAGCTATATTTCATCAAGTTGCGACACGCCAGACAGAGTTTGTGCCCAATGATTTTATGTTATAAAAGAACATTTGTTAAAAAACTCACTTCCTTTCTGCTTTGATGCCTGTTACAGAAATATGATAGACAATAGAGCAGAGTCAATACTGAGTCACTTTTTAATTAGTGAATTTCAGAATTATCTTCCCTTTTCTTACTGAGTTTCCTAATTTTTGCCTCATGTACTACAATCATGACAAGTTCTCCTCCATTTGATATCCATTGTTTTTCCTAAATTGGATGCCTGAGTGGTGTTTTTGCAATTACTACATTGCCAAAATTTAGTGTGGGTGTAGGATGCAAGGGGTGAAGCTGAGAAGGGGTTCTGTACATCTGTCTCTGTCAACCCTTAGGTCTCCCTTATTGTCTTTTTCTATGGAGTAAAGGGCTCAGAAGATGAAAGAACTTTGACAGATGTGTGTGTGGCTTGTTCAGAATGGCCCCCCCTAAACCTTTCTGCTCTCCCAGTTAGTGGGGAACTCCCACACCACATCTCTGAATTTCCTAAACATTGATATTTGCAAATACATACTGGCTTCGTCCATCTTCTTGGAATTAACTTTTAAAAACACTGGAATGATTTTAACCCAAATTTTCTTTGTGTTGCTTGGCTAAAAAGCTTAAAATCTCCTCCCACCTACTGGCATATATCCTAAACACACTCCAGGAATATTTAGTGACTTCATTAAGCAAAGACATGCTGTTGTTATCATTCTGCTTTATTGGTATGAAGGGGGGTGCTTACAAGGAAAGAAATGGCAGTGCTTTTAAACAAAATCATTTCAGCCGGCTTTTTTCGAAGCATTGTATCCAGGAGGTTGTCAATCAGCGGCAGCACTTACGCCTTTGCTGACTGTGTCACTTAGGCCTCGGCGGTTGTATTGCTAAGCCGTATCTCGTAGGGATGGTCCTGTTTCCAAGGGAATTCAGTTGCCTTTCTCAGAAAGGCAACAATAAAGATCACTGACAACACGGCAGGGCTAGAAATCCTGGGATTAGAATAGTAACAGAGGAGATCCAGCCTGGAGAAGTTACAGCCGTTCAAGACCTGGGAGTACAGTGTGGCATTCCCTCCACACAGCACCATGTGCTACTAAGAACTTACCACATGGATTTGGGCACAGAGATGTGTAGATAATCTTTCTGAACAGGGAGTTTGCTGGCAAATCAGCTCCGCAGGGGTTGAGGACTTGGGAGCGAGGAGCAAAGAGAGCCCTGATTTCTAGCATCGCCGGTTACTGTGCTGTATGTGCCCCACACACAGGCCCCCAATTTCAAGCCATCAGCACGTGTCCCTGACCATGAAGCCGTGAGCTCTGTGCAAGCCCGTGTGAGCTGGCTCCCGCACACCCTGGACCTCTGCGGGCCCGTCCGGCTCCAGAGCTCCCTGCACCGTGCGCTCAGGCCTCCCCTGTGACTGCATCACAATTCAGTCTCTCTCTTCCCTTCTTCATTTCCTCTCATCTCGGAACAGCTGTTTCTCCTGAAAACATGCTCCAGTAAACCCTGCTGCATGAATGAGTATCTCAGAGTCTCAAAGTCCCTTTCCCAGGGACCCAACCTATGACAGAGAGAAATGGAAAGCTGAGTCCATTATCACTGAAACATGGAAAATGAAAACCCTGTGTTCTCTCTCCTAAATTCATTAGCTAATTAGATCAACTATTATATCCACCTGGTTTCCTGATGAATCAAAGAATTTCTCTTGATACGTTAACAAAGCAGTGCTTTCTGATTCGTTCTGTGAGTCATTCAAGTCCGTGGTAGCAGACAGACCACCACAAGCCAGGATCAAATGCGGCCCCACTGTTGACATCCAGTCACAGGGCAGACTCCTTCGTTAGCGCTGGAAGGGCAGTAGCGCGACTGGGAGACTACATCTCACCTCAGATACTGTTATTATCATATTTGTCTTATTATGCTACTAAAATACTTCCTAGCTAACTCCCGTGCTGAGATGCACAAAACACATGGTTTCCTTGGACAGAAATGACTCTGGCAGAATACCTTTACTGCCACATGAAGCTAAAAAGAAGGGAAGATGGTAATAAGAGGTTATAAAATCATCTACTAAAATAGCTATAAATTTTAGGCCTGGTAAAATTGTAACTTAGATGCAAATGTGAGTGACAAATTTTGAATCTATAGCTCTTTCTCCAGCAAAACACAACAATTTATATAGTCGGTTTTCAATTATCTCACCAAGGAATGATAGCATTAATGGTGATTATTCAGAAGAGTAGATAATGAACAAATTCATTTCTGTTCGACCTTAAATATTGTTTTGTATTCTAAAAGTAACATTTGAAGTGGGTACATTTTAGATTCTAGAAAGTTACGATGCCTGGAACTTAAATACTAAAATTACATTGTAGGAAGCCTACTGAAGAAAGTGAGTCATATTTTTCACTTTGTCTTGTACAGTACATTCCTCCTGTCTGTATTATTGCTGAGAACAGATATCATTCTCTCTTAAGAGAGTGTGAAGTTCATCCTGAACAGAAGGAAATTTGCATCAAAATGTTTCCTACTTTATATTTTCCCAGCACTGAGGATGATTAAATATGTTGGTTGAAAGGACACACTCCTTCCCTGTCCTTGCTTGGCTACAATTAATTTTTTTCTTAATATTTTAAGTCAAACAAATACAATTGGTTATCAAGGTATGGAGTCATGTCTAACAACACTTGAGATGGTTAAACTAAAATACCTGCCCATGGAAAATCAAGTTGGCTATGTATATATGTCTATATCCTCCATCCCTTACTTCCTTCATTCAATGTTTTTATATAGGATGCTTCATATTAATGCTTCAGACACTTTAATGTTTATATTTTATTTCACTCTTTCTTTGCCTAGAAAATTCTATAAAAGCAAGGACTTTTTAAAAAATGTGCTAAAGTAAAATATTCCAGGTGTTGTTAACCCAACGTCAACGTTAAATGTGTGTTTCAGTTCCTAAAGCTACCTCTGTGGAAACTGATTTATCAATATTAAGCAGATAATCTGTTAAGAGCCATAGCATTTTCAATAAGTCTGAGCATTTATGTGGACTCAAAGTTAACCTCCTGCTCTCCTAGCTTATTCTTAGTCACGTGGCGCACGTTCCTTCTAAAACAATACATTTTTACATAAGGGTGGAAGATTATCAAGCATTGCAGGGAATTTGATTTTTGCTTTGGGACTCCTTTGCTCTGGTGTTTGACTCAACAAGTATTTGATGTTTGACACCAATACAAAGTTGATTTCTCTCCTTGTAAATACCTGACTTGTATCTGAGAAGGCACTGGAGAGCTGGGTAAACAAATCGCTAAACTGAGTAGTTACAAACATGGGCTCTGCCTGCCAGGGTGGCATTGCACAGGAGATTTTATCTCCCAAGATCATGGTTTTCTCGTTATTAAAGGGAAGACAGTCATATAAAGTGATGAGGATTGTGGGGATGATTACAGACAATAAATGTAAGTAAATTGAGGGTATAGTAGGCGCTCAGTAAATGCTGGTGTTTGTTACAAATACTAGCAAACATTTACTGAATGCCTACCTTGTGTACATACAGTTCTAAGCACTTTCTGCAGATTGATTCATTTAAATCTCAGGACAACTCTGTGTTCAGGTACTGTTGTTATCATTATTTTGCACATGTGACCTAGAGAGCTGAAGTCAGAATTAAGTGGCCAAGTCAATATTTAAACGGATCCCATACATTTAACCATCACCCAACACCACCTCTCATACAAGCAGAGCAACCTTTTAGCAGAAACTGGATCCAGCAAAGGGATCCACTCGTGCTTCCACCCATGCCCCTGGCCCTGCCACATTCCACTGCTGGCCACACTCCTGAAACACCCTCCCAAACAAATGCCTGTAAGCAGAGTATTATTTCATAAGAGGGATCAGCAGATTTCAGGCACTCATCTTTACCCCAAACTCCTTCCGTAATATGAATGGTGAGAAAGAAAATTGTACCCCTTATGACGAAGTTTTATATAACGTGGCTTGAGACCCAAGGACCACATGAGCTGAAGGCAGCTTCTCTCTGGCCTTCTCTCTGTCATTTAAACAGGTCTGATCAGAATCAACCAGTCTTGGAGTGGTCATAAGGGAAAGGAAAAGGGAAGCTGCCCCTGCTTACAAGCCCCAGCAAGGCCACTTACTGGCTTTTTTTGCCCAAGGGGCTTCCACCTTCTGGACTCTTTTTCATTTGCAAATTGAAGATGTTGCTGGCCACCCAAGAGCTAAGCCTGGCCCTCAAATAGGCTTTGGCTTTAGCCTTGTTTGACTTACCCCAAATTTTGTTTTGCTTAATTGCATTCTAAAATACAAAACTCAAGAGATTTTACATAAAAATCCTTATTTCTGTCTTCCTTTGAAAAGTGAGGTTGTAGCATCATTGGGGCCGTTTTCCCTTATGGCATCAGTGAGAACCATCAGCTAGATCTGAGCGGTGGCTGCCCCTTCAAGATGGGACGTGTGCTCACTGGTCCACCACGGCACACCCTTCTCCATGGTCCCACACCCAGTCGGCTCCCACATTTACCCTCCTTGCCGGGTCTTGCAGGCACGGGGGTTTGCAGTCCTAGGACCTGCTCTGACCTTCATTTGTTCATTTATTCATTCTTCTTTTCATTTGCTCAACCCACATGCCATTCTATATATTGTACTTAGAACCAAAATGTAAACCTTTTTTTCAAGTGACAGAATTCTGTCTTCATTTCTCAGAGCCTGGTTCATTACTGCTGCTTCTAAAGTTTTCTCTCTTCTTCTTATCCATATAGGATCCTGTGGTTTGCTAAGCAGCAGCTTCTCCTGGTCCGAGCCACTGCAAATCTCCTGCTCCCGTGGTAGGAAGAAGGGAGAACACAGCAAGCTTGGGCCAACAGGTAGGAGAAGGATGCACTGCTCAGTTATGTGGCCCAATACTGGGGAAAGATAACAACACTTCTACAAAATCAGAAAGCAATCCCTATGGACTAATGATAGGGAAAAAAGTTTAGTTTTTTCTTCTTTTAATCTTTGCCTACTATATAATAGAACATGCTATAAAAGCCTTGTACCTGAATATACAGGAGAAAAAAATACAATTTTTTTTAAAAGTCATTTTTAAAAAATGCATATTTACAAATGTCTATGAAACCTTTGACTGATTTTAGTGGTGGCCTCTTTTAAGATGGAACATTAGGGAACGAAAGATACGCCTTACGTGACCTGAGACAATGCCTATTTAAAAATCCATTTCTCCAAGGCTATAGCTAATTGATTCTTGAATCTTCTTTGCTGAAATAACCTTGTCCCACAGGCAATTATAGTTCAATTATTTATTATTTTGCTTGAAAATACTAGCATTTTTAAGTAGAAAATGATGGTACAGTCATAAAAAAGTGTCTAAAATAACAAGTAATCATTAAAATGTTTTTATTTAAAATGATAATTAGCAAAACAAATATTCAGAATATTCTTTTACAAACCAAGTTTTTGCCCTAAATAGCACGCTAAGTTTATAAAAGTGATCGCAGCCTTCCTGAAGTGTAACTCAGAAAAAGACGCCCCTGAGTGGCACAGAGACTTGTCTCATACTTTTATCTTTCGCACCACCACCTCTGCGATTTGGGCCAGTCTCTAAACTACCGTTTCCCGGGCCACAAAATGGACAGTTACTTCACAGTGTCTTCTAACTACCAGGCTCAGCTGGACAATGCAATACCAGGTATTCGTGGAAGGTGAGGGGGTAGCTCTGAGCTACTTCCCTTCAAGCTCATTTACCAAAAGCAGCTTCAACAAAGTATCTATTCACCAAATTCCTTTCTTCCATAAGGATTCTATGAATTCAAGACAAATATGTTCAATATGTAAATACAGTAGGCAGATGGACCATTTTTGAGAGCTCTTTCATGGAATTAGCCTGCTGACTGACATGGTCCTTCCTCTCAATGAACTTACCGTCCAAGGGAAGAAAAAAGAATAAAACCAAAATGGAAAATAAATAAATAATGCAATTATAAATGGTGATAAACACTATGGAAAAACAGAGTAAGGAGGTAGAGCCTGCTTTGTAACAGGTGGTCTGGGGGGCTGCGAGAAGCAAAGCAGCTGCTCCCATTCCCGTCTTTGGCGGTTACAGGATAGGGGTGCATTGCCTCCGTCTCCCGGAGGCTCCCTGGGGCCGTGTGATTTGGGCTGGCTCGCCAGTTCTCCATAGAACAGACCGGTGTCATTTCCATGCCAGAGCATCTAATGCTCATTGCTCTAGTCTCCTTCCCTGTGGCATTCTGACAGGTGATGTGGTCCAAGATGTGGTGGCCCCCTTAGCCTAGAAATTGTGAGACTTCAAAGAACAGAGCCCCCCCTTAGCCCACCCACGCTAGCTTGTAGCATGAGAAAACAACAAGCTTTTACCGTTTTAAGCCACTGAGATTATGGTAGTTATTTGGTAATGCAGCTTAACAGAGACAATCCTGACTATTACAAGAGGCATCTCTGAAGAGGAGAAGGTTGATTTACACAGGCTTTAAGACAAGAGTCTTTGAGCTTAGCTGGTTCACAGAATTGAAAGAAGGCCAGTATGGCTGATTATAGTAAATCAGGAAAAAGTAGCAAGTAATGTTTAGAGTTCCTTCTACTCTCTCAACTCTTGTCTCTTCTGGCTCTGAGGCTGTTCTGATATTTATATTCCTGGCAATGCTTTGAGATAGATTAAGTAGTTTGACTCTAAATGTCTTTGATTTGTTTACACAAATCAAACTCTCATATTTTAGTTCTTGCCTCTGGATTATGAACGTTTTTATCAAGAATTTTGCATGTGGGCTATTGATATGATAATGCAATGCTAATGCCTTCTAGAAGCTGAGGGCCTCTTCCTTTCAGTCAATACTAAGATGCACCTGAGTATATAGGCCATTCATAACTGAGCTGTGGTTCAGGATGAGTAGCTCACAGCATTTTGCAATGGAATAATTTGTAATACTGTACAATTTTTAAGCTCTTAGCTTTTCACATCAATTTCTAATATTCTGGCAACAGAATCTAAGGAAAAGCCCAAGCTTTTATAGGACTCATCATAGCCCCTTTAATGTATATGTCAGCAGGATTGTCTTCTGCACAGAAGATTTTGTTTGAAAACAAACAAGAAACCCCTAGCAAAAAGCAAATTGCATGAGATGCAGTTTATCTTCTTTGGGAGAAAAGAAGAGCTGAGTCAGCCATCCTGGGATTTGACAACTACGGTACTTCTTTATCCTTGACACTGCTCAGATAGAGCGGCTGATATAGTAACTGCCTTTATTGAAGTTTGGTAGACTTAGAGGAAGTACATCTGGCTGATATTATAGTCATTCTTGTAGAGTTCTTAAAGTCTTAAGGATTTTTATTGAGGTGAATGAAATCCTGCTCAAGAAAAATAAAGTAGAAGGGAAGAGAAATAAATCTAAAATAAAAAATGGGTCCTAAACATAATCCAGGGCCAGTGCAAGTACTTTCCAATGTATTATCCCCCTACAGTGGAGGAATGAGCACAGGGGGGTTATGACTGCCCAGCCAATGAGGGGCGGATTAAGGAAGGTACAGAGGTCTTCTCCCTCTAAAGACCCTGCACTTTCCGTTCTATCACTTAGACTACAGTGTAAAAGACTCCCTCTACCATCATCACAGTCAAATCCAAAATGGCCAGATACTACATTTCTGTAATGCCCAGAGTTATCTTCTAAAAGATAAATACTTGGTCACTCTTCATTTATTACATATCTAGATTCAGAAGAGCCTCTAAACAGAGTTGGAAGTTGCACTCTGCTAATTGTACAGCTTCCCTTTGTTCAGCCTCATCCTGTATAATTAGCACAGTCTTAAAAATAGAAGTTTTCCATGGCATTAAAATTCTTACATGGCACACCCTCTAATTATTTCATATCTTCACATTAGGGACTAAGATACTCCCGTGGTGGAGGGGGTAATTTGGTTTGTTATTTAATTATTTGTTGAAGGAGTTCAGGAAAACAGGGAAAGAGAGATTTTTTGAAAGTTTCTACTTGACTGAGGTATGTACACATAGAAACAGGCACACGCATACATTTTTTTTCACACCCTCACTTCCCCCTGGCTTCAGACTTTACCATTTTTGGCACCAGTCTTGGTCACACCTGTTAGTATATTTTTCTATGAAGGACATATTCTTCAAGACCTACTCAAAGCCCGTCCTCCACAGGCCTTCCCAGACGATCACTGTTAAAATTAAGCTCCATCTCCCCCTACCTGAGGGTGCCTTGTGCTGATTGCAGCTTCTCTGCTTGTACTGCAGGGGTGGGAGGAAAGGTAGAGAGGGCTGGTGACTCTCTCAGATGTACTCTCAGTCTTTTCTTCCATGTCCTCGCTTCCCTTAGAGTTAGGTGTGTCCGCATGA